CCCCAAAACCCCAAAACCCCAAAACCCCGTGTCGAACTAATTTGGTTGAATTTAGAGAAATACATCAGTTTTCCAACTTTGTTGAGTAAATTGTCTCTTTAGTATTAGCTTACGGCGACTATAACATGACTCAGATTGTATTTTCTCAATACCTCTTCAGCAAAGGCCATTCTGAAACTTCTTTGATTAAGTACAAATCTTTGTAATGTAAGTCTCAAATCTGATTTTGATATAGCATGCACGAAGTTCTCAAATTCTTATGGGTTCTCTCTCCATTGCCTTTGTTGGTTTGGAGAGCTTAGGAGGAAATTAAGATCTCCTATCTTTGTTCCTTTCAGTCAAACTGAAAGATCTGGAACTGTAGGCAGAGATATTATGCAGCCTTCAAATGTGCAATTAAATTTTAGTTTATTGGCAGCAAATATTCTCTTGAGTTGAGGTTCATTGATATTATAATTTCTAAAGCAAATCTCTGTTTTAGCAATGTGACTACTTCTGGCTATCATCGGCATAAATTGATGAATACTCTTCAATCTTTTGGATCCTAATTCCAGTGTACTTAATTTTGTGGGATTAATGCTTTCTATAAAATTTCTTGCATAATTTCTATTTTTACTATAATTTTGAATTTTAACTCAAGAAAACTCTGGAAGAGGGATACCATGCATTTTCTTCAGCATTTTTATATCTTTCATTGCATCCATTTTAATACATATTCATTTATTTTTATTAAATTTACTCTGCTGAACCTTCATATTTATAGCGGATGAAGACCAGACTTTTCAATCTATCTTCTTATCTTTCGATTCCACAAAATTTTCAGCTTCTAGTATTTCTTTATTAATGCATACAGTTGGTATTAAACCCTGGTTTTGGGTGGTCTCGATTAGAAGTTCAAAGCTCTGCTCGTTTATAAGAGTACTAGGAATTGTCTTGAGGTTTACAAACTAGAGAGTTCATCTGATTAAAACTTTTTTCAGCATTCAGAGAGCTTGATTTACCATGGACTGATGGGATTTTATCTTTGCTCAAAAGATCTTTATGACTAATCTCTGCATGCTGTTCTATCTTCCTTAATTGCTCAACATTTTCATCAAACAAGTCTTTATATTTGTTTAGAAGGCAGTCAGTAGATTTTAGTAACCTTTCAAGGCTCCAGCTGATGTCCTGATCTTGATACATAGCATTTCTCAAGCCAGCATCATCAAATTCTCCTATGGAAATTTTATGATTGGAATATGGGAAAATAATGAACTAAACATAGAATCTTTGTTTAATCCTTTAGTCTTAGGACTCTAATTCTATCATAGGTTTGAAAGAGATTAGTCTCAACAGTGGTATTACGATGTCTGAGAATAAGCTAAACAAAGGAATACAAAAAAACTCAAATCTCTTCTGACTAATATTCATTACCTACTATCCCCAGCTCTACAAAAACTCAAAAGCTAATTGATAGTTTAGATGCAGAGGGCTAACCAAGAGGTGAAGATGCAATCAGTGCACATAATTTATTGTTCTTAAAACATATCCTTACTGTTCCTAAACAAGGAGACATCCTCTTTAATGGCCACCAATGCCTTCTGGATTTGAGTAATTCTGGCTGGAAATTTCAGGGGTCCATGGTTTGAATACCTGGCAAGTGCTCTCTGTGATCAGGCTAGGACATATTGGAGTTCCTTCAACTTCTGCATCTCTGAGCCATAAGTTTCTGGAGTGGCAGGAATTTGCGAAGATAGTTGGGCGGAGGAAGACTCCATTTATAATAAATTTATAATATTAGTTCAAGATCTTTGCTTATATTGGGGTTTTGGGGTTTTGGGGTTTTGGGGG